AAGTATTTAGATTTTTAGAGCTTTCAAAGTATCATGTTTAGTCATTTCTAGAAGAAAAAGGATGTAGAAGATCATTCATTCAACAAATAAATGTTGAATGTCCACTATAAATAAAAGCCCATACTGGAATTGGTGTGTCATTTTAAAAGGTTGTGTCTATATGTATGAAAACTAGAAGGTAATCCCAGTCACTGGCGTTCACTGTGGGAAGCTAAGAGCCCAAGGCTTGCAGTTCATAGTCAAACCAGGTCTGGGCCATGTTCTTACTCATGTGGAATGATGGATTCTACCTGGTGAAGTAACAACATTGCTCTACCTCCTTGAGAATCACCTGTGCTACTTGTTAACAATGTTGATTTCTAGGTCTTCCTCTAGAGATTCTGGTTCAGTGTCTGTCAGGTGGGACCCGGGAACCTGAATTTCAATTACCAACCCCAGAGGATTCATGGATACTATGCTGTTTAGGAAACTCTATCCTAATGGCACCAAAGCCTTCAGCTATGTTGACTTTGGCTGGCCATTTTTATTTTTTATTTTTTATTTTTTTTTTGAGACAGAGTCTTGCTCTATTGCCCAGGCTAGAGTGAGTGCCATGGCGTCAGCCTAGCTCACAGCAACCTCACACTCCTGGGCTCAAGCGATCCTTCTGCCTCAGCCTCCCGAGTAGCTGGGACTATAGGCATGCGCCACCATGCCCGGCTAATTTTTTTTTTTATATATATTTTTTTAGTTGGCCGATTAATTTATTTTCTATTTTTAGTAGAGATGCGGTCTCGCTCTTGCTCAGGCTGGTTTCGAACTCCTGAGCTCAAACAATCCGCCTGCCTCGGCCTCCCAGAGTGCTAGGATTACAGGCGTGAGCCACCGCGCCCGGCCTGGCCAGCCATTTTTATGTCTAAACACATGCAGGCAGAGATGGAAAGTATAAAGTCTGAACGAGCAAGCATAACATTAACAAATGAGTAAAATGTGAATCAGGGCATCAGTGTTTGGAATAATTAACCATCTCAGGAAGCTCTTGCTCAATATTCACAGTCTTCACCTTTGAAGTAGACGATGGGAGCCCCCGGTTGAAGGTTGACGGCATGAGGTGCTGTCAGCTAGGAAGTCAGTAAGGGGAAATTGGAGCCATTGTCTTACTGTGACAAGCAGAGTTGTAGCCTGTGACTTTGAGTTTGCAACAGATCATTTCAACTCAGCCTTTGGACAAAGAGGAGCTGTAGTCATTAAAGTTTTTAATGATCTCCTTAGAGTGACTGTGTGGGCTGGAACAAAGAATAGAGGATAATTTTCTATGCACAACATTTCCAAAATGCCATAACTCTGTAGGAGAAATGTTTTTTGTGTTTGTAAAAATGCACTGGCTTTCTCAGAATCAGAGAAATTGCAGATTGAGAAGGATACTTAAGAGTCATCTAGTCCAAGCCTGATTCCCATCTCCCTACCCCACCGAATACAAGAAACCCAGCAAATAAATTCAGAAGTAATTTGATTAAAGCAGAACTCTTTGAAAATCAGACCTAATATATTTCTCCAAAACTTGACTTTTTATAAATCAAGAAAAACAAGTTGTTATTATTAACTGTTGTGAATGTGAATTGTAAATTGAATCAAATGTGCTGGGAAAACTGATGTTTTTAAAGCAAGTATTTTTTGAGTGCTTACCCTATGCTAGGTGCTTTACAGGAATAGTCTTATTTGATCCTAGTGAAGTTGATACTATTTAGTCATATAAAGAAATTGAGACATACTAAGTTATTTAATTGTGATCCCACAGATATTAATAATAAATGGCAGAACCAAAATTCAAAACCAATTCTGTCTGACTCTAGGACATAAAGAGAAACATCATACAAAACATCCAGAATGATGCTCCAAATGTGTTTTTTTTAAGTCTGCAATCATCAAACGATTTACAAATTAGCTGAATGGACTTTTAGAGTCAGACAAATTCAGCTTGAAATTCTGTTTCTACCACACGTAGCATCTGGTCTCAGTTTACCTCTCTGATCTACAAAATAGGCATAACAAAATCTCGTACAGTGCTTCTTGGGATTATATGTAAAGTACCTGGTAGTACAGTATCTGACAAGCATTTGTGAATCAAGAAAAAGAAATTAAAAAAGAGGGTCTTTTTTTTTTTTTTACAAGTACAAGAAAGTGCCGCATTCATTTTTGTTCAATGAAATTTGAGATTAACAAATCTCAGATTCATTAATCTTGACACTGTGGCATATTGTGAATACCCCAGTGCACAATATGCATGAGTGTACATGTTTGTCATGGTCAAATGCACGTACTATCGACGGCAAGACAGGGCATTGAGTGAGTCAGCACATCTGCGTCCCATTAAATCCTCCAGATCAGGAAGTGCAGAGATAGACATTATGTGGTAGAAATTCATAATCCAGTCTAGTATTTTGAATGTTCAATAGCTAAATCTGAGATCCAAATAAATAAAATGATTTGACCAAGATCACATCAGGAGTCAATGCCAGTCCCAGGACAAGAATAAAGCCTTGTCGCTCTTTGTTAAGGGCTATACCACCCATTTGCATTTTCCCTAAAAAAAACATACATGCTGGGTAGCAATATTTTCATCAAAGGATCTTTAAAATACTTTGGGCATTCTATCCTAAGAAAATAATCCAAACTGGGTGGTACTTGGCGGAGGATAGGAGGGACGTATGCATGGAGATATACTCTGAGGCATTTTTTTCCACAATGGCACAAATTGGAAGTAGCCATAAAAATGACTCACTTTGTCCTCTCCTGTAAGTCTTTGCTCAAATGTCACCTTTACTGTAGATCCACCCCAAACATTCTGTTTAAATTGTCTCCTTGCTCCAACTCTTTCCATCCCCTTCCTCAGCTTTCTTTTTCCCACGACACTACCATTTTCTGACATATAATGCAATTTACTTATTTTTGTGCTTATCGATCAGCTCTTCTGATGTGCATTCAAGAGTGCATGGATTTCTGTCTTCTGTTCACTGCTGTATTCCCATCGCCTAGAGCAGCTCTGGGTACTTAATTCAGGGCTCAGTAATGTTTGTTGAACAAATTAATGGATGAATGATCTCCAAAACTAGGAGACTGGGTTAGTGAATTAGGGTATGATATTTTATTCTACTTACTTAAAGTGGCCATAAAATTTAGAAAACAAATGTATAGATCTCTAAATATGCTCTACGTGAATAAACAACAATATTCATATTCAAATAAAGACTAAGAGAGGAACTAGGTGAAACTATGTACCCAGAAAAAAGATCGAAAGGGAGTGGGTTTATGTTTTTAGTTTTTCATGTTCAAATATATTTTGTTTTGTCTGAGAATGACAGCCACATAGAGAGAAAGGAAAATAAGGGAGCAAGGGTGAGAAAGAACTATAATCATGAAAGTTCTAGCTCCGGGGCTTGGGATGCTGTTGGCCTATATGCTCCTTGTCTGGATCCCTGGCATCTTTATCTAAAATGAAGATGAAGCATTTTAGCCAAGGAGCATATCAGGCTCAATTTTCCTCCTATTTCCAGAAACATGTGCTTTGCAGAATTGGCTCAGGAATTGGCACGTTAATAATACATTGAATTTTAGCTAACTATGCCGTTTTGCTCACAATCCCCATCCATTCTAGTGATAATTTTACAGACAACCTGAATTTTCTTTTATTCCTCTCTATGTTCATCTGTCTTCATGCACTTGTGTTTTGGGGAAGAGTTTTCAATTAGTGATAACTGGGCCTTGGATAAACCTCATTGGCTACGATACAGCCACTGTGCAATGCCTGTTGTTTCTAAACTCTTCTTTTGTCCTGTGCCGCCATCCTCTATGCCCACCTTTGTCCCAGTCTCACTCCTTGTTTTGCCCCCAGTCCCCAGTTTGTGCCTGGGCACATCCCAGAACCAGTAAGGCTGTGGTGCTGAGAGAATGAGGACTCCTCACCGTGTCCCCTCTCCCTGCCTCTTCTGTGCACCTCGGGCTGCACACACAGACCCTGTGTTCTCCATCCACCTTTCTTGGAGGCCCACGGGGCACCCGCCCTCTGTCCTTTCTGTGAGGGCAGCGCTAGTGCTTTCTGTGCAGCAGCAGCTCTGCGCCTCGCCTGTCCCCTTCTTGGTTACAATCACGGCTTTTATTCCTCACCGTGCAATAAGTTTATTGCTCTTCATTTTGCCACTAATGCTAGAGGGCAGGTGTCCTTATAATCCTAATGATAGCTACGTAATCCCCAGAATCATGTAATTTTAGAACAGCAAGGAGTCTCAAAAGCCATCTAGTGGAATCCTGTCACGAATCCACGGTCAGTACCGTGCTAGGTGCCAGGTAGGTGTTTGGAAAGTATTTGACATCAATAAATACGGTAAAATCAGCTATCACATACCACTGTGCGTTAACTATTTTGTGCTGTTAACTTTGTTTTTAAAATAGTTTTTGGCTACCATTTATTCACATCTGTTTATAAGGTCTACGAATAGTCATGGAGAGGGCTGTGCCTTAGAGGACATGAGGTAAAACTGAGAAACCAGTTTCAGGCTGACAAGAGCGATGATTTAAAAGGGGAAAAGATCGGTTATTGAAGTTAGAATGAGAAAAAATAGGCTAAGTTTATGACAAAAGGATTATATATAAATAATAACATCTCTCACTTCTAAGAACTGTTAGATAATGGGAGGGGTTACCGAGGAAAGCTGAATGACGGTTCTTGAGGCTAGCAACATTTCTAGTGTGATTCAGGGGATGACGAAATTAGGCTTTCCTTGATGGAGCAAAATAGAATAAACATGTTAAATGGTTCCTCCTCCATGAGTCTGGACAAGGTTAATTCCCATTTCACTGGAAAATGGAAAATGATTATAAAGAGCAAAGCGCTTACCTGCCTTAAAGTCACTAACATTCAGTCCACCCCTGAGAATCCGAGAACTGTATTCACGGTACTTTTGGCCAGGACGGCTGATTTTTTTGACCGATAGCTTTATAATTGTCATTTTTCTTTCTTTCAGGCTTGTAAATTTTATAGTTCCCACTGGTATGTAGTAAACTACAAATACGAACAATATTCTGGAGACATTCGGCAGCTACCCCGGTAAGAACCTGATATGAATGCTCTTTTGGTTTTTCGCATATATAGACTATGTTCTCTGTTCATTGTTTATGAATACGTGTCCATTAATCTAGTGCCAAGGTACATTTTACAGAATTTATAAATAAGAGTCAAGATAGAACATTTTGTTCAACAATATATACTTTGCATATTCACGGAGTTTAGAGTGAGAGATAAGTATGCTCTGATTTAATTTGGGGGTGAAGGTTTAGGGTCCAATTATCATTATCTTATTCTTTGGTGAGGTGTCCTTTCAGTAGCAGGTACAAGAGGATTAGAAAAGCATAATATGGTCAAAGGGTTTTTCTGACAATGTTCTGTATGACATTCTTGTTTGCCACTCGTTTCCTGTATTTTCATGCTGGGTTATCAAGTCATGAAAATAAACAACTTCCACAGAAGTGATCTATATCTAAATACAGCAAAAAGGAAAATAAAGACCTATTTTTTTCCCCGAGTCCTGGGAACATAAACTTGTTAGGAGAAGGTGACTTTGTTTTGCTTCTGCTCTGATGTCACCTCCACAGAGAAGCTCTCCTGACTATCTGAACTAACGTAGAAATTTATTTAGTGTTTGTTCCTTTACTAAAGTAAAAATCCCCAAAGGGCAGGGACTTTTCTCTCTGGGAACCCCTGCAGGCCCGGGAGAATGCGCGACACACCATAGGCCTGTGGTAATTACCTATTGCATGAATAAACTGAGTGGATAGCAAATCTTAAAATATAATATTCCTGGGTGGGATTGGAGTTGCTCAAATTCAAAAAACTACCCTGAACTGTTACCTCCCAACTCATTGATTTATCAAGCCAAGATGATGCGAATAATTCAGAAAAACTCTTAATCAAAGTTAAGTTTTTCTTAACATTTTCCTCAAGTCAAAACATTGAGATGACACACATTGGATCTAATTTTTTAATAGATACACGGTAAGGAATTGGGCATCATTTTGCCAGATTTCCTGTGCCCCCAGAAACATCCTTCCCAGCTTTGGATACTTGGAAGCGTTGCTCTCTATTCCTAAGTGCAGAATTTGAGGGAGGGATTATGAAATAGTTTTGAGAAGGTGATATTTGAGCTCAGATATGAGTGAGCAGTAGCTGCTGGCCCTGGGATCTTGGGAAAAGGGTTCCCACAGGACACAGTAAGGGCAGAGACCCTGAGATGGACACCACCATGGTCACTTGAGGAGAATAACAATTAGGGGGCTTGAGCTGAGGTCTGGACAGGAGCACAGCAAGGTGAAACCAAGGACCTTAGGCCCGGGACCTTGTGGGCCCTGGACAGGAACTTGGGTTTTACTCTCATTGCAATAGAAGCCTTAGGAAATTTCAACCAGGGTGTGGCATGATCTGATTTACTTCTTTAAAAGATCCCTTGGTCTACTCTGTGGAAAATAGGATTGCAGGGATGAAAACAGAAGAAAAAGAGAGGAGGCCATTTCTTTTGGAGTTGCATTACTGTGAAGAGCAAAACAATGTTCCTCCAAAACCGCAAATCCGTTTTCAAAGCACTGAACATTAACTTCTACCAAATTGGAATATTCTTTTACACTCACATCACTCCTGATGGATAACCTCTGGTAATTTCGTGCTAGGAAGGTCCACCACACCCTAGGCCTTCCTGAGCAATTGTTACATTCAGAACGTCTGGGTGTTAGTCACGCGCTTTGTGTAAGCGCAGCTGAAAAGCAAAGCATTTTTTATCCTCAAGACTTCCACTTTCTGAAAATAGTTCTGAGAAGTGGTCACACTTGGAAGCTGTCTGAGCAGTGAGAAGACTGCATGTGAAGCGAGAGGATGTAGACAGACATCGCTGTCCTTTGGAACACATGCCTTCCCGCCATATTGAGGTCTGTTGGGCTCTTCAGTGGCAGTTTGCCCCCAAAAAACACTATTCATCTTTTCTTATACTCGTGATGCCACAAAGAAAGAAAGTAAATTAAAGATTGCACATGTACGGTGTTCTTTCTGTATTAAAACAATAGAGAAAGCATCTTCAGTAAGAACAGGCTGTGGACATTGTTGTTGACTTGGAATTCTCGTAGACGGTGGAAGGATTAATCTCATGAGAAGAAATGAGAAAGTAAACAAAATGTTGTTGAAAATTTCCCTTACTTTAACTAAAGGAAGTAGAAGTTGATACCAAGAAGGGGAAGAATAAGACGGCCACCACGTTAGAAATGTTCATGAACTATGTATATATTCAAAATGAAAATCAGAAGTTCTAGAATACAATCCTCTAGCATACACCCTAGAATAATGAAGACTAACACTGAACAGCAGACTTATTTTTTTTTAATGATTTTACAGACCTAATCACTGCCCCCAAAGACTACACATATTCAGGTCAGTAGTAGAAACAGGTAATTTACTTGGTCCTTCCGAGGCTGTCAGAAGCAAATCATTTTCATACTCCTGGATTAGAAGAATCCTCCTATGTCTGCTACCAATTTAAATTGATCATTTCTTTTTATGGGTTGCTTTGAGGCTGCAAAATGAAAATTTGCAATTATGGAAAAGTAGAAAAAGGTGAAATTTATTCTTTAAATTTAAAATTGTGTTATTATTGACTCTTAATAACTCCACTTTTTTTTTTAAAGTGTATGTTCACAAGAGAGAAAGAGATTGTTTCAGACTAGAATATAAAATGTGAGCCTTTACACATTAGGAATAAAAATCAGCACAGAAAATAAGAGCAGCACAAAATCATATGATGCCACTGATTTCATTAATCCATTGGGTTAAATACAGAAATACATAACATATTAAAAAATTTTTACCACAGTTGATTTGATAGAAGGAAGGTATAAGGAAGACAGTTTCACAAGAGTATATTTTATGACTGAAAATGTGACAAAATGTGCCCAGTTTAACTGGGCTGAATTAGAACAGAATAACTTTTTAAATTAAAAAAAATTTGAGTGTCTACAGTGAGCGAGAATGTCCTGGGTGCTGTACACGCATTATCTCATTTAATATCCGTAACCCTATGGAACAGGAACTGTTACATTTCACGGAGGAGACTCAGGAACTGAGAGGCAGCTTGCTCCAAACCCCACAGCTAATAACCGGGGGGCACTCAGGCATCCCCACACCCCTATCTGGGCAGTGGCGGTAATTTGGGTGTAGAAGTGAGAAATGAGACCGCCTATAAATTACAGCCACTGTTGGGGTCAAACGCCAGAGGGCAAGGTCCACAAGGAGCCCTATGTCATGAGATCCCAGAGGCCCTTAGAGACCACACAGAGCTCTGGAGGGAAGAATGTTAAAGTCCATAGCCAGAGGTGCTCACCTTTTAATGATCTTTAAAGGTGAGAAGTCATTGCAAAACAGCCCAGTAGAAGATTGCTTTTTAAAGGCAGGAGCTTGTGCCCTGTGGCTCTTTGGGAGCAAAACGGGGAAATAAGAGCCCTCTGCAGCCCTCAAGCCTCAGCAGTGGTCTAAACACCGTCCACGTCCCCTGCCCAGGAGACTTCACTGACGTCACTGGCCTCCCCACTCCCGCCCGCCCTCCCTCGCTGTGTCCCGGCCCCAAGAGCCTCCTACTCCAGGATGTCCCACGCTTGGTCCCTCCTCACAGCCCCCACTCCTGCAATTCCCTCTGCTGGAACCATCTTCCCCCAGGTCATCACACAACTGGCTGCTTCTCATTCTCGGCTCCAATGCTACCTCCTGAGAGAGGCCGTCCTTCCTACACGTGGCCCTTGCTGTCCAGCGAGGATCACTCTTCTCTCTTCTCTTCTTGGTTTTTCTCAACAACCGTTTTCACTCAGGGAAATTATCTAGTTTATTTATCCTTAATTAATTACTGACTTTCTCCTCTCCTGGAATGTAACCTTTCTCTGTTCAGGGACTTAGTTCCTGACATGTGGTTGGCACTGCTGCATCTCTTCTGTATGCCGGGTACTATCTGGAAACTGGATCTTTGAGTAGCAGAGAAGAATGGCCTCCAAGAATTGACATCGATCTCGATTCACATTGAATTTCATCAAGCAAACTCAAAATTAGGGAAAGCCACCAGTGAAAGGGCATGCCCACATTCACTACGACCCAAACCCCAGAAATGACCAAAATTGACACTCATTGGTCTGCACATTTTTAGAAAAAAAAAAAAATGAAGAACAGCGTGGATATCTCTAGTAACTATTGAAGTCGGTTGAGTTTTCCTCTTGACCTCATTGGTGTTATCTGTCTCATATCTTCTGAGTTATTTTTGAATTATTAACACTTAAACCCAAGAGGAACAATTAAAGAAAATTTTATTTTATTGAAGAAAAAGTGTGGACACATCATAAGTTGTAATATAATGTAGGGTACCTATCAAAGTATTAAATGTAACAATTGAGGAATTCTTGAAAACTCTTTCAGTATTTGTAGGAAGCTCCCTTCTCTTTTTTAAATCATCTACCCATCAGAAATATCAGGGAAAAACAGTTGAGAAATTCTCACTCAACATTTTTTGAGAATACTTAACACATATTTCTGTACAATTTTTTATCCTTAGTATAAAAAAGAATCAGTTCAGGAGATGTCATGTTTTGTCACTCATTGTACAATTTCTTCAATACTTTAAACATTTTCACACTTCATCACTTTTAAAATGCTTTACAGATTTCCTAACATTGGGAAAAGTTGAAAGACTTGTGTACAGTGAACACCCCTATTCTCACCATCTAGAACATATCTTTACATTTTGCTATGTTGTTTTATCACATTATCCGTCCATTCGTCCTTCCTTCTAGCCATCCATTAGACCGCTTTATTTTTTGATTCTTTCAAAGTAAGTTTAAAACATCAGCTCACTGCCTCGCCAAACACTCCAGAATGCAGATCTTTAAATAGAGATATAGATGTTTGCAGCTTATTTTTTTCTTTTGATATAAAATTTACATACAGGGAAATGCACAAATTCTAAGGGAGCCATTTGACAACTTTTGACTGTGGGCATACCTGTGTAACTCAAAGCTCTATTGAGATACGGA